TACATCTCGAGGGTTAGCTTAATGGTTAGGGAGGGAAAGTTGAGGTAATTAGAAGTATGAAGATCCAGATTTGATCCTCATTGCAACTATATTTGTAATCTTTCCTATTTTTACTCAAAAAAAAAAAATTGAATAACGATAAAAACACAACTGGAGATAGAAAGTTATGCATTTTAATTCTGTTGAATTAAAAGGTGATATTAAATAAGAAAAATAAGAGAACTACCACACGATGGAGTTATAGTAGAATATATATGTAAATCTTAAATTCAAATTTAATTCTCGTAATTTTTATTAATAAATAAATAAATAAGATGATGTAATATATTCATTCAATCACATGTACGCCAATCACTATCTAATGGTAAGTTACATAAATTAAGTTTGTTATTTATTAAAATAAATATAATAAAGTTATAAAAAAAAAAAAGCTTATCCAAATTTAAAGTACCTTTAATTTTATGAAGCTTCCAATTGCGTTTAGAATTTTGTCTCCGATTTGAGAGTTTGCTTGTTCAATGTGTGATTTTCTGCTAGCCAATAGTCAGTCTTCGTTCTTTAGGTTAATTAAAGCTTTCATTCTCAACGTTTTGAAAGGAAGATTCTTTTTCTTTTTCTTTTCTGTTGCGATCTTATGTTTCTCTTCACTCTACCTTTAACTTTTTCTTTTTACTATATACTTATTATATGACTGTACTTTTCAAATTTCAATAGTATTACAACTTCCAACTTCCCTTATCTGATCTTTATCTTCCCTTTCTAGATCAGGAGTTAATTATATTAACAAGTAGTATTGCCACTTAATTAGCAAAGTTTCTAAATTTAACCAAAAGAAAAGTAAAAGGGTATACCGTATCTTTTCTTTTATTCTCTCTTTTACTAATAAGAGTAGTATCCTTGGCCAATACTCCAACCCACGTAAATAAATTAAGTTTCTGATATTGCAATTAAACCTTTGACAACCCTTTTAAAAGGAATTCTAGATTAAGACGACAAGTTAAAATTCCAAAATGTAATTACCAATTTGAAGTCTTATGAAGGAGCTCATGTGCTAATTAATGTCTAATTACAACTATCAACAACTATTATTTATTAGGAGTGCTATAACACATTTTCTAACATACTTAAATATATTTTTTATTAGTTATAATTTATTGAAATAAAGATTCATTAGATAAAACGTGAAATTCACTGTAATTTTAAATAAATTTCAGCTAAATAAAAGCAAAGAATGAGTCTAAAATAATACGTTTGATGGTTATATTGCTAGCATTAATTATGTTAATATGTGAAGAAAGAAAGAAGAAAGGAGTTTTGACATCCCTGTGCAGAGAAAATGTGTTGGTCATAATTGTATATGCAATGGTTTTTATCAAATTAATTACTATTATTTTATTTTATTGCACCTTCATTAGTTTGTCTCTCGGAAATCAAATATCATCAGAAAGACGACAATATTGATCCAAAAAAAAAAAAACAGTCCACATTATTAGATCATATCTTAACGCTTATATATCTCATGAAGTTCCAACCATATAAAATTTTGAGAGTTAATATTATATCATACCATAGCTATTTGATGAAACAAGAAAACAAACGAAGATACATATAGAAAGTGATGAAGGATAAGGAATTAAATTAAAAATAAAATAAAAAGTCGTTAATTAAAAAATATAATAATTAAAAGGTGTTCAATCAAATTTTATAACAAAAATTAGTCATCAATATATACTTAAACAATATGATATCAATAACATGGTTAAAAATTAAGAAGAGAAGATGAGTATGTACTTACAAAGCCAATCTCCAACATAGACATGCTGTTGAGAAGACCATTCAGTGTAGTTGACATCATGATCAATCCAACCTCTTGATCCTCCCACCTTATGAAGCACCGGACCTCCCATGACCACCAACAACAGCCACCCCATTACCGCCGTGCTCGCCGCTAATGTCGTCGTCGAAACACTCCATTTCTCCATCACTTGCCAAACAAAACAACAGCAGAAAGATCGATAGATAGATAAATAGATAGATACAAGTATCTCAGGAACTAGCTATAGCTATATCTCTATCTCAAGGACCATGACATGAACATGTGAATGTATGTAACGTGTGAGTTAAATAGTGGGGGCATGAACTAGATGGAGCAAGGACTCGTAAAGTGGTGTGCCTCGATAATGGCACCTTTAAAGAAGGGGCTCAGTGACAGCTAAACGTAAAGGCGTTTCGCATCGATCACAACACGCTATTCTTGTTCTTGCCATGTTATAACAAGTTACAACAAAATTAGGATCCCACGGTTTTGTTCATGTAATCAATGTTAACATTTTCACACTCTCGCTCATTATTCTTGTCTTTTAATGCAATTTCAAGTAAGTAACTGCCAACTTCTGCACATAATAATAATAATAATGATAATAGTTAATGATGGGTACACATGATAATGATGAGTGTTGTTTATGCAATTATGCTATATATTGCTATCAGACGTTTCAATGCAGTCAGGCTAAGAATGCTTCAATTGCCCCTTACGGGTAACGTTAATATATACATTGATCGTTTATATTTCATTAATATTAACATGATATAATAATATTGGGTATGAGCCGTGAATTCTCATAAAATTATCTCATAAATTTGAAGATTGTTATTTTATTTAGCGGAATAGAAAAAAATTATTATGTTTTTCTACTAATAAAAATTATAACAATGACAACAAAATTCAAATTTAAAACTCAATCTCTTATAAGTCAATCCTAGTAATTTTTATTAGGGTTTTTACAATCACATGCATGTAATTTTCTCTTACTTGAATTGTGATATAGTGATGAGCTTAAACTAGGGATAATATTGAGGAATTTCATCACTGTTATGTTGAAAAAGTACTTTGTAAGGTGTAGCACATAAAAACATGCAAATGGCGTGTCAATTTTTTTTTTTTAAGCAATAGCGTTTCTTTTTTTAATTAAAAAATGGCCTGATTTTATTACTAAGAAATAGCCCACAAAAGGTCATACAAAATCAAGGTCTGAATTTAATTTGTGTTTTTTTTAGCCCAACTTGTTGTAAGGCATGACCCATATCAAGTTTGAAATCGGCCCGGTATCCACTCAATAAAGTATATGACTTCAACTTTAAATTGTGTGCACATAGGCCTTTACAACCTATTATGATCATGTCTTAATCTAAGATTAATTTACAAAAATTCTGCAAATTGAAAGCCTTGAACTTCATTTTAAAAACTCAAATTGAATAATATTTTTTTATTTGACTTGCTATAGTCTATATAACCTTTATTGAGCCCAATTGGCATGAAATGTTGAGCTTGAACTGTAAATTTTGATTTTTGAATACAAATTGACTTTATATTTTGAAAATAAACTATAATCATAGTGTAAACTTTAGATGTTGAAGTTATTGTCTCTTCACTTTGACTTGTGAAATACAACATTGGAAAAACTACTATCAGACTCTTTCTTTCTCTTTTAAAAAGAGAAAAACTCTAAGCAATAGAAATATATGACAATAATGGATCAACTAATGAGATTTTAATGACTTTATTGTTAATTTGTTATGCATATGTAAGCATTGTATCATCATAGTGTTAATCGATCAAGAGAATCTAGTTAGCTAGTTAAACAAATTGTATGTGTTAATCTAGTTAGCTAGTTAGCTAGTTAATGACTTTATTGTTAATTTGTTATGCATGTGTAAGCATTGATAGCAAGTTCGATTCTTACCCATAAAAAAATAATACCAATGAAATCAATTTGACATCTTTAATTCTTATTAATATATTCTAATTAAATTTGTATTAATATACACTTTATTTTGAGAAATAAATTCTTATTAATATATAATTAAAAATTACTTTTTAAAAAAAAATTAATACTTGGTCCTATTGTTATCAAGAACATAAATCAAAAGAAAGGTCATTAAAATGAATTGTTCAACGTATTAGAAATCTTGTAAGAACTACAATTTTGTTAATCCAACCTAACTTGTTGGTTTGTCAAATTAGGTTTAATTAATTTGTTTATATAAATCTTGAAATATTGAGTTCAATAGGTCCAATAGCTTTTAGGCCTAAAATTCACGAGCCTAACTTGACCCATATGATATATCAAGAAAAATCAATTTATTCAATTCTTTTTACATTACTAATTTGAGATTTTGATTGAGACTAATTCATCAAACTATCGGATTAGTTAATGAATTAAATCAAGTTTGACAGCTCCATCTATAAGTTAATTTTAAAACAATAGATCTAGAGTATAAAAGATATTAGTCAAGATCAAGATTAGTTGGCATCTTTTGTTATAACAAACTTTATTATTAGCTTTATAAACTCATATCTTGTATTTGTTTTAATACATCAATAATAATTTTTTCTTCAATTTTCTTCACATGGTATCAGTATAACCTCTTGAACCTTAAGGCTATGGTAAAAGCTTCCGTATCGCAACCCTTTCTTCCCCAAATGTTTTCTTCTTCCATCTCCAACAAATTGAGCGATCATAACTTCGTTACCTGGTTTGAACATGCTGAATCAACGATTAAGGGCCACAAATTGAAGCAACACATCATTGGTGCAAACGCAATCCCTCAAGAATTCCTATCGAAGGAAGATGAAACCAAAAATAGGGTTAATCCTCTCTTTGAGAACTTCGAACAACAAGATTCTCTTCTCAAATCATGGATGTTAGAATCCATGGAATCCTCATTCAAGATTCGAGTGACAGGGTGCACCTAGTGTTACCAGATTTAGAGTGTATTGAAAACGTATTTTGCTTCCCAAACAAAGGCAAGGGTCAAATAGATCAAGATTCAACTTCGCAATGTTTGTAAAACGAGAAGGATGAGTCAATACCTATTGTAGATAAAGCAATTAACAAAAACATTGGTAGCGATTGGCTCTCCAGTGTCTTTGGAAGAGCACATCAATTTTATTTTCGATGGATTGTCGGAGGAGTATGACCCTTTTGAAACCTCGTGTCTAACGAGGAGCAAGCCTTATACAATTCCTTAGATCGAAGCTCTCCTACTTCATCAAGAAGAGAGGCTTGAACGTCGCAAATAGAGAGAATCTAAAACGATTCAAGCAAATCTTGCCCAAAACTCCGAAATGACAAAGAGGGGAGGATCAAACTCTACAGGAGGAAGAGGCTTTGGTCGAGGACAAAATCGAGGAAGGGGCCGTTTTGCAAAGCCAGGATACAACAATGGAGGACGTGGTCCCAAGATTCAGTGCCAATTGTGCGACAGGAATGGACATTCGGCTTTTTACTACTGGAGATGATTTGATGAGGATCTTTCTAATCCAACCACGCAACAAAAACAACATTAATCACAACACTATAAAGAGTCAACAAGAAGCTATGTTGGCCTCTTCTCTTCATGCACAAGTAGATGACATGTGGTACCCGGATTCAGGAGCATCCAATCACTTGACAAATGACATTTCCAACCTGATTACAAAGCAGGAGTACCAAGGTAAGCAACATGCTCTTGTAGGTGATGGTAATAGCCTTTTAATCTCTCATATAGGACATTCTAAAATGCATAATGTTAAACCAAATATTATTTTCTCATTGCCCAACATCATGTATGTTCCTAACATATCAAAGAATTTGCTTAGTATATCAAAATTCACTAATTATAACAAGGTATTTGTAGAATTTCATCCTAATAAATGCATTGTAAAATCTCAGGAAACAAAGATGGTTCTTCTCAAATGGCATCTTAAAGATGGATTATATGTCTTTGATGATCTTCGGCCCGTTCACACACACACTGAATTTGTAAAACCATCGGCATTATCATTGCTCTCTATAATATTGTATCTTGTAATGATGTGTCAATCTGGCACTCTAGGGTAGCACATTGTTCCTTTAAAGTACTGAAACGTGTAATGGCATCTTGTAATATTTTTGTTTTAGAGAATAAAATGCCATTTGTTTGCTCATCTTGCTATATTGGTAAATCTCATAAATTATCTATTTTCAATATCCAACATTGTTTACAAAGACCTTCTTGAAATGATCTATTATGATATTTAGGGCACTTCACCTACACCAAGTAGAGATGGATCCACGTATTATATAATATTTGTAGATGCCTTTTTGAGGTTTACATGGTTTTATTTCTTGCATACTAAGTATGAAGCTATAAATTATTTTATTTAGTTTAAGAATATGGTTGAACTTCAGTTAAACAAAAAAAATAAAAACCTTACAAATTGACGAAGGCAAAGAGTACATTATTTTTTCTAAATTTCTCAAGAAAAATGATATTCAACATATATTTAGTTGTGCATACACTCATGAACAAAATGGCTCAGCTGAGAGAAAACGTACGCACTTGACTGAAATTGGGCTCACATTATTAACTGAGTCTGGTTTATCTTTTCAATTTTAGAGTGACGTTTTTGTTGTAGCAGTTTTTGTCATAAATAGAATACCTTCATCTGTAATAAAATGGAAATCCCTTTTTGAAATGTTTCATAAACCTCCTAATTATACTCTCTTTAAGCCATTTAGTTATGTTTGTTTCCCTCATTTAAGACCATACAACAGGATAAAAATGGATCCAAGATCTCAATTGTATATTTTTTTAGGGTATAGTACAACTCATAAGGGTTATAAATGCATGACATCATCCGGAAAGATTTATGTCTCAAGACATGTGATTTTTGATGAAAAAACCTTTCCTGTGAAAGAAAACAATTTTTTCAAAGAGAAGCATGCTACGCATAGCCCTGTGAATACCTCTTACCCAACTATACCTATTGTGCACAGTGTTCCACATCATGTTAATGACATAATTGTTATGGATGAAAATCAAACCACCATACCTGAAAATACCAACAACTATCAGGTAGCAAGTGGTCCTTCTTCTCATCATAACATATCTAATAGTATAGATCAACATATAACTAAAACACACATAATATGATAATTAGGTCCAAGTCTGGTATATTCAAACCTACAGTCTTCATTGTTGAAACCGAACCTAGTACTGTTGCTTTAGCTATACAAGATCCAAAATGGTTTAATGCTATGAAAGAAAAGTACCTTGCTCTAACTAGGAATCAAACATGGGATTTAGTCCCTCTACCACCACATCGAAAAGCAATAGGATCAAAGTGGATATTCAAATTAAAATACAAACCTGAAGGAACGATATCTAAACACAAAGCTAGACTTGTGGCTAGGGGTTTTAGTCAACAAAAAGGCCTAGATTATACAGAAATTTTTAGTCCGGTTATCAAACCCGTACTATAAGAATAATTCTTTCTATTGCTCTCACAAAAGGATGGCTAATAAGACAAATTGATGCCTATAATTCTTTCCTAAATGGTTCATTAAAAG